ATTTTTCTAAAGTCAGCCAATTTACAAAATTTAAGAGAAAGTCTTGAAAACTAAAATGTCAAAAATAGAGAAAATGTATATAACAAACAAAAACTCCAAGTTTTCTCTATGAATGCACGATTTATTTTCATCTTGTGGTATGAAATTTATCATATTTCACTTGTGGCTACCGCCACTCATAAAATATTTATTTTCATACCACGAAATGAAAATAAATCCTGTATTTATGATAAAAATTGAATATCCCCTGTGTTTTCAAAACGCACAATCATGTTTAAGAAGGTGTTAAAAAACAATCCATGCCAGTTTTCTGATAACGTGCGTGTTTTTTTTTGTTTTTTTTGTGTTTTTTGTTTTGTTTTTTTTTCAAAACTCGAAATCATGTTTAAGAAGGTGTTGAAAAACAATCCATGACAGTGTGAGACTTTAACAAATACTCCCTTATGATTTGTCAAAGAGCAAAGATAGCAATTAACAGGATATTCATTAAAGCTATGATATTTATACTTTATTTTTAATAAACAAGGAGACTCGAAAATCCAAATCATATTAATTTTATATTGATACAGCGGTATAAACGTTTTACAAAATTGAAGTAAACTTGCCAAAAATAGTTAAAAGTATGCCGTAATAATTGCTTATCTATTGCATTTTACATTTGAACATGACAGTAACTTTATTGGTCTGCCATGTTTAAATATTATTCGATTCAAACATTGGTAATTTCTATTCAAGAAAAAACTTATTAAATTCTCTACAGTCAATATTTGTGCTTTAATGACAAGTGTTTGGTTTCTAAAACCTTACATACCTTTTTATATGAACTTCTGTCTAGTGTTGGTGTGTTATATTAAGGGATGCGTTCATTAAATGCCACCTTTCCTTGTTGACCTTTCTTTCATTATCGTGAATTAAATAAGTTTACTTTTAGGTTTTTCTATTATTAAAACCGGTTTCAGTTAATGTAACTTTATAGATAAAGCTAAAGACAAATGTATGTCTATAATAAAGGGAATGTGTACTGTTAGGTTTTGAGTTACATTGTAGCTGGATTGTGTCTGACGTCGCCTTGCCTTGTTGATCTCTATTATGCCCCTTTTCGAAAAAAAGTACAAAATCCGGTCTGTCTGTCTGTATGTTGTCTGTCCGACAGAAGACCACGTGATTTCCGCTTATAATCTTGAAAAGTATTTATCACAAAGTCTTCATATTTCACATATTGATTGATCATAACTAGTAGATGACCCCTACTACTTATTTTGGGGCCACAAGGTCAAAGGTCAAGGTCGTAGTGGCCTTAAATGTCAGAATGGTTTCCGCTGATTATCTTGTAATCTATTCATCATGAAGTCATGATATTTCACATAGTGATTGGTCATAATTAGTAGATGACCCCTATTGATTTTGAAGTCAAAGGTCAAGTTCACAGGTGCCTTAAATGTCAGAATTTTTTCCGCTCATTATCTTGGTTGCTATTAATAACAAAGTCTTAATATTTCACATAATGATTGGTCATAACTAGTAGATGGCCCCTATTGATTTTGGGGTCAAAGGTCAAGGTCACAGGGGCATGAAATGTAAGAAAAGTTTCAACTCATTATCTTGATTACTATTTATAACAAAGTCTTCATATTCAACATATTGATTTGTCATAACTAATATCTGACCCCTATTGATGTTGGGGTTACTAGGTCGAAGGTCATTGTTGCAGGGTCCTTGAATGGTAGTAAGGTTTATGTTCATTATCTTGAAAGCTATTTAATACAAAGTCTTCTTATTTCTAATATTGATTGGGTATAATTATTTAATGACTACTATTGATTTTTGGTCACTAGTTCATAGGTCAAGGTCACAGGGACCTTAAGTGTCTGAATGGTTTCCGGTCATGATCTTGAAAACTATCAAAAATTCTTCATTATTTTTCTATTTTCCATAACTGAACACTTCCATGTACCCATTTATGGCAAGTTTCTATAACAAAATAATTAATAATGTGAGTCAAGGGCTAGAAAGGGGGCAACTGTGTCGTTCGACATTTCTAGTTCTTATTTTTATTTGCTCACCAGAACCGAAGGTTCAGGTGAGCTATTAGTATCAAAGGGTCTTCATGCGTGAACAATCATCTTCTCTGAAAAATGTTGGTCAGATTGACTTCAAATTTGATATGTAGCATTATGACAGTCACCCTTGAATTTGCAAATGTACTTTCAATTGGCCCCTTTAAGGGGTTAACAGAGCTAAAAAATAGTCTTCTACTAATAAAATAAATGATGGATGATCGTCAAAATTTGCCTGTTACGTGTATCATTCTTAGATAGTCTTTTATCAAGTTTGCTCATATTAATTTGATACGACCTTTTTAGGGACCGCCATAGCTAAAAACAGAAAAACCTTAATACATTTTTTGACTAAACTAATTGATTGAAAATGGCCAAACTTTGTCTGTAACATTCTTAGATAGTCTGTTATCAAATTTGTACAATTTAATTTGATCGACTCATTTTAGGGTCAAAAAATAGAAAACAATCATTTGACAGCTTCTCTTACTGAACCTATTGATGGATGCAACAAACTTTGTCTTTAGCATTGTTGGGTAGTCTTTTATCAAATTTGCTCAAATGAATTTTATTGGTCCCTTTTAGAGGCAGCTTAAGCTAAAAATAGAAAAAATATACGTCGTCTCCTTCTACAGGACTAATTGATAGATGGCACTTAACTTTGTCTGTAGCATTTAAGGTAATCTTATATCAAGATTGCTCATACTAATATGATTTGGCCCCTTTTAGGGGCCGCTAACGCTATAATACCCCAGGCCATGACATTTCTTCAAATAATACTTTAATAATGAAAGGGAAACAACTTATGTTGCAATGTCTTCCATACATGTGTTCGTGAAGGGTCATTTGTAGGTCAGTTTTAGAAATAAAAATTGGCTTAAAGAAAGATTTCATTTGTTTCCTGTACCTTACAAACATACTCAATTTTTTGTATTGAATGTTGTTAAAATTGTTTTGTTTTCCTGTTTTTGTTGGATTGGTTCAAAGCTTGGTGAAAGCACATTTTAATAATTTTTGAGACATATTCTTGAACCTGATATTTCATGTGCATGGGATATTGTCACTGTTTATTTAACAGATAGGTAATTGTTTTTCACTTTTGTTTTCACGAAGTAATATTCAAATATAACAGTCAAACTAGTAAGTTAAATGTTAATAAACTTGACTTTATTTCATAAATCATGTAAATATGACTGAAAGTATTTTTCCATACAATCTTTTGTAACTAAGCATGTTACTTTAAGAAACAAAAGTTAAGTTAAAGTGAACTCATGTCTAAATGATCAATGAATTCTGCTTAAGCCGGTGCTCGGGGGCGTCAATGATTAAATGTTGAATTCTGCTTATGCCGGTGCTTGGGTGCGTGGACGGTAAATTGCACTTTCCATTACCGTCCATGAACTGGCTCAATCAAACCGAGCTTGCAACATTTTCAATTTTGTCTTGTTGGGCTTTCTTTATGGATTCTTTATTTCGCTCTGTTTCATGTAAACTTTAGCTGTTTTTAATGCTTGTCTCAAGGTAGAACATCCCTAATGCGCACTATAAGGAACTGTAAAATTGACAGCATAAGGCAGTTATATGCCTTAAATATCACCTGTATGCAAAATTTAAACATCATTTACCGTGTGGTTTATGAGTTATGGACATTTTCCTTAACTTTAACTTTGCCATTAGAAGGTTTTTTTTCAAAAATGAGGAAACTCTAAATAATCTATAATATCATCATGTAATTATGAAAAATGTTTTCCTATAGCTCATTGTTCAGAAGCAAATATTGACATTTAGTTACCAAATTAAACCAGCTTTTTATTTTCCTCCTAGGATCTAATTGGTTCATTTCTATTGTCATTAACAAAGTTTTACATAACATTTTAAGCCTTTAATAGCATTCGGCACGATATGGCCAGTTATGTGTTGACGTGCCGTAAAAATCCAAACAAACAAACAAACAAATTTTATTTTCCTTTTAAAAGCGTTTACTTTATTACGAACAAGTAAGCAACATTATCCACTTATTAGATTGAAATGTTTGATATCTTTAAAACATATTATGTGTTTAATATAAACATTTCACACCTGGTAAGTGTATTTCAATTTCATTTGACGATATGCTTTTTGATGTTGTTGAAAGTTTTCTAGGAAAATTAACATCACTTAATGAGACTTCAAGCCTCAAAGCGCATAAATCGCTCTTGGTCGATGATATACATGTATTTGTTATCATAATATATTTAGCTTTTACGTCCATCAATTTATAAGTTGCATGTGCAACAAACTATATCCGTAGAAATAAAAAGAAAAACATGTTTGGAATAACGGACTATATTACATTCTTTTTAACAATATTTATTTCATTGTGTATTGGAATATTTTTCGCTGTCTCGGAAAGAAGACGAAATACGACCGTTGATTATTTTCTTGCGGGTCGAAAATCTAGCACTTTGCCTGCTGCACTTTCTTTCGCAGTAAGTTTCCTGTCCTCATTGGTAGTTATAGGATTTCCCGCCGAGAGTTATGCTTACGGTGTCGGCTTGGCGTATTATGCCATTGGCATATCTGTCGCGTACATTTTTGCAGCAGTTTTTATTGTACCAGTAATGTTTCCGTTAAAACTGATCAGTGTTTACGAATATTTCAATCTGCGATATGGAAACAATGTTCTTCGTTATATAGCACTTGGTTCGGGTATTATATATACATTATTTTATATGGCATCCGTTACAGTGGGCACCAGTGTCGCTTTACAAGTTGTTCTTGGTATTCCATCGTGGGGAACTATTTTGATATATACTCTTGTGACAGCCATATATACATCTATCGGTGGCATTAAAGCGGTTATTTGGACGGACGTTTTCCAACTGATAATCATGGCCGCTGGAATGGTTGCTATTTTAATAAAATCATCAGTAGATGTTGGTGGACCAGAAAATGTTTATAGGTATGCTAAATAAAGATAGGTTCGATGCCACTGACTTCAATGTTGATCCAACTATAAGATATCAATTCTGGAACGTGTCTTTTGGAATAATAACTCAATCGCTTTATGTTACCCTGGCTCAGCAATCTATGCAAAGAATATATTCCTTACCAACTGTGAACAAGGCGCGTGCTATATTTGTTATAGCAACACCATTTTATGCTATGATTGTCGTAATGGGAGTACTCGAAGGTATTGTACTGTTTGCTTACTTTTCTGAAAAGGGCTGTGACATACTCGAAGCAGGAATCATTGACAATGTAAATGCTATTGTACCATTTGCTGTTCTTGAACTATTTCATAACCAACCAGGTTTAGCAGGATTATTTACAGCTTGCCTTTCAAGTGCAGGATTAAGTACTTTGTCGTCGTGTCTTAGTAGTTTATCTGCTATAACATACGAGGACATTATAAAGGTTCATTTCAGACAGATCACACCTTGTCAAGCAACAAGAATAGCAAAGGTTTTCGTGTTGTTTTACGGCATCGTTGCGATCGCTCTTTCGTTCTTAATGTTACACATTCCTGGCTCCATATCAGCTATCTTCATCGGATTTATAAGTTGTATGGACGGTCCTGTATGTGCTCTCTTTATTGTATCTTTGATGTGTCGTAGAATAACAACAACAGGAATTTCCATTGGAATTGTCTGCGGATGTGGACTGGTATGTTGGCTAATCATCGGAAGTAATTTTTCTGACGTTCCGCCGTATCCATACCTTGCGCATGGTCCAATTGACGAGTGTTCTTTATATCTCAACTCTACAGATGTTAGGACAGAAGACACACTAAAATTTTATAATGCCAGCACGACGTCAATGTCTTTGACTGGTATTCCGTTTTCAATGACATTTACTTCCTCGCCTGCTCCTAATGAAACTGTAAGTTCTTCATCACTTCTCCATACAATATACAGTATTTCATATACACTGTATTCTTTAATTGGCTTCTGTACGACAGTCTGTGTAGGTTTAGCTGTTAGCTTCTGCACTAAACGACAAGACACGATTGATGAAAGATGCTTGTTTTCGTTTAGGAAACACATGCTTAATGATCTATTCGTGTGTAAACAGTCAAAGTGTGAAAATCATAAGAAAAATGAAGATGTCCTTGAAGATGTGAGGTTTCTTTCAAAAGAAACTGAGTTTTGATTATAAGTAATTTTCAGGTCATCACATGGTCACGATTGTTTTCGAAACAAGAAAAGATTAACGTTGTCACTTTGTTTATCTGTACTCATATCCGTTATCTAATTTAGCCGAACCAAATAGTTCTGATTGAAATTGGAATTGCTTTGTCAGCTTGTTTAAAGAAGAATATTCTACTACATATATAACGATGCTGTTGCTGCTTGTCTGTTTCACTTTTATTTCACTACAAGGTATAATAATATTGTGAAAACAGTTTCACCTTGTTAAATTATGTTTTGTGTTTTCATTACATACTGTCCAATATCGTAATATATTTCCAAACACGAACTAATGTCAAATTATACAGGACAGTCACTGAATTACGATTGCCTTCGTCGGTTATCGCTGGACTTTATAATGTATCCTAATGCGTCATATAATTTGACACATCAACCTCTCACAGTTAAGAACGACGAAGAGAAGACACTATGATATACAAAATAAGAGTGCTAAGATTTGTAGTAAAAACGAGGATTGACTAAAGACATTGATCTTCTCATGATTAGCAGTACTTTAATATCCTATACCGTTGCTTTGTTGTAATAGTTGTTGTTGTTACTTTGTTTAATTGTTGTTGGTTTTTTTGTTGTTTTTCTTTTGGGAGGGGTTGTTTGTTGTTGTTTTTTTTAGCTTTTTGTTGTAAGTTTTTTTTTGTGAATTGTTGTTTGTTTGTTTGTTTTTGAGGGACAGGGTGAGGATTATTTGTCACAAAAACAAGTGCGTCCGTACTTGTATAAAGTGTTTGCAACGTACTGTATGATCATCTTTATACATACTTATTAACCGTATTAAATTCTATACACTGATTTGCTCCATATATTCAGTAGCATGTATAGCAAAATATACTCATAGCTTGATACTTGAATATAGACATATACATTTATTCAAAGGTCCGACCTCAGTGTCCAAACTTATTTTAGTGAACTGAATCTATTTGCTTATTTAAATATCAATGGTATTGTTATCTTGAAACATTTTACAAATCATTTCAATGATCATGATTTTCTAGTATTCCAGTTATATACACTCACAATAATGATGTGATTCGTTGAAATGTGGAATAAAAATGATAATGCTTCCAATTGATCACACTTTATTCAGATTTTTACAGATTTTATCTGAACAAGAATATTGTAATACATGTATGCTATTGCTATATGCATATGATTAATTAATAAATACACACATAACATCAATTGACGTTTGTTTTAGCTCTTTAGTCAAATAAACATTTATATTAAGCCAAGTTCTTGCATTATATTTTCATCTGTTCAACGTGATTGATAATGTGTGACTGCTCGAAACTGGAAGCTTTCAACAGGTTCTCGTTATGCAAAATATACTCATAGTTTGAGACCCAAATTACACATGTATATTCCAAAGTCCGACATCAGTGTCGAATTCTTTGTCACCAATCTTAAAGGTAAATGTGAACGCTTGATTTATTTTAACTAAAAGCGTTTTTTTTTTTTTGTTTTTTTTTATGTAGGTCACTTAAATGGCAAGTTTTAGAGTGATTGATCATTTGCTAGGCAAATACAAAAACAATTTATAACCAATTTGATGTCAGGCTATATGGAGAAGTCAATTATAGTGGCGATAAAACCTTGTTATTTCATCGTGTCTAGATTCGTCAGATGATAATAGGCTTAATTATTGAACTGATGTGATTAGTGTCGTAGTGTCGCCCTTTTACATGGTAGACTGTAGACTGCCTCTTCTAGTATACCTGAAAACAGATAAAATAGCAATCGTTTCCCAGGGCCGTCAACATCTGATTTTGACTTACTTGTTTGTTTTGTTTAGTTGTTGTTTTTTTTTAAATTATCTAAAACGTATTTTACTTTTCCGTATGATTGATATATAAAATAAATTCAGGAAATTTTTCACTTGCCCGTATAGGCTGTGAACAACCTTTACAATTGATTTTGTCCACCCTGCGTTTTCTATATCCACAAACAACGCGATTTAGCTGAATTGTATTTAGATGGTTTAGTTTTATTTTTATTTTGCCCTGATAACATTATGCTAATGTTTAGATAAGCTTCTTTGAAGGTGAAATCGCCGTCATATGCCGCCGTTACTTATTGCATATTCCTAACTACTACAACATCAGGGCATTTAAACGATGTGATAACAAAGTGGTTACTGTGTCTGTCGTTCAAACAATGGATCATGGATCTAGCCTTATTCAGGCCAGACTATGTGTTCTTATTTGACACCAATACTGGTAAATTCCAGGAAGCGGACGCGATAACAGTAAGTTGCAAGAACTTGTTTTACAAACGAGCTAATTTTAAAATGGAAATAATATATTTGTTTGAACAACACATCAATGCATACGCGTAAGAATTTAGTTCGATGCATTTCAAGTATATCATAACTAAATAAATTAAGTTTTAAAACAACATGCTACAACATGTTTTTTAATGGTAGCCAGTGGGTAAAAATCCTTTGTCTATCAAGAATATAAACTAACAGGGTTTCATAACGTTTTGTAGTTATAAATAAATAATAAATATCCTGTTTAAATCTTACAGATATTATAATTACTCAATAGCCAAAACATCATCAAAATCTATTTAAGCACTAAAACGTTACATATTTTTGAAGCTCGAACATTTTGTATAGATCTGAATTCTTTTCTCTATAGTATTCTAACATAGAAAGTGACATCGAACTTTATTTTGTTTATTAGGTTGTTATTTGTGTTTCTTTCTCTAACGACATGGAAGCTCGGGTAATTGATATAATTAATAATAAAAGAAAAAAACCAGACAAATTCAACACAAAATTTAAGCGTGTATCTATGGCGACGACAAAGGGTTCAAACCCCTTCAAGTGCAAGTCGTTGTCTCCTTGAGCAAACAAGAACCGGTTGAACTGGGTGATGCTCCCCGAATAGGTTTTGGACACAGAAAAGTATACCTCTTTTAGTTTCAGAGTTTTGTCCTTGACAAAGTTTATAGTGCAATAATTCCAAAAAAATTTTTATTTGCCTACCTACAAAGTGTCTTGTTGAGATCTATTATACTTTCAGAACGATGTCCTAGAAATGGTTAAAAGTGTAAAAATGTACAAAGGGCAATAACTTGAAAATTAGGCAAGACAGAGTTATGTTTCTTTCGCACTGTACTTCTAGCAAATGTGATCTATCTACCTAGAAAATGCATGTTAATATCTTTTTTCTAGTTTCAGAGATATGTCCCGAACAATGTTCAAAGTGTTAAAATGAACAAAAGGCAATAACTCCATAATTAAGCAAGGTAGAGTTATGATTCGTTTGCACTACACTTTTACCAAATGAGATCTATCTACCTAAAAATTAAAGTTTCATGTTGATTTATCTACTAGTTTCAGAGTTATGTACCGAATAAAGTCAAATGCAAACATTTTTCTCAATATTAATTCAATCGTACATGAATAAACAATAAGTTATAGTTAAAATCCATTGCAATTACTAATTGCTGTTCAATGTTTTAAAAAGTAAAGAAAAAACTGTAAAATATCTAAAATTCACTAGAGAAAAAGGCCCTTGTTATGTTCTTACTATTATATTATAATAATTCAAAATGTGTACATACCTAATTCCTTTAAATATGCGGACGTTATACTGTAATACAAGCAATCCCAATTCTGCTACACTTTGGTGTAAACCCACCCGACGTAAAAAGCTCATTAACATGAACGATAACACCTATTGCACGTGTAACTATCTCTTTTAGGATCATTTACTTTTAACATTTTAATGACAGTCGTAAAATAAATTTCATCATCTAATGTCGTTTTCTGTCCCTTATTTAGAAATCATGAAATTGTATTAAAGATATGAATGTCAATTTTCTTCTTGAACGCCTCTGTGCACACGAGGTCAGTTGTTTCGTGTTCACATCGAAACATTAAGTTCTTCAAAAATAGAATTATTTATTTAATGGGTTGTACATTGTACCAGGGGTTAAGAGATTTTTGACGTGCTACTTCATTGATTTTATTTATGCGTATAATAAAAAGTAATATTTATTGCGATTATTTTTCTCCATGAGATATATTGAAATCAATACAAAGCCGCTAAAAGCGGAAAGATATAGATTTGTCGTGTGTCTGGTCGTCTGTTGGGGCTTAAATACAAAGGTCTATGAGCTTCATTTCGTCCATAATTTTTTGGGGTTTTTAATCGGACAAATAACGCCCTTACTGTCGGAGGACTTTTAACTTGAAATGTCATACTGAGATAGATAGATCATCATGGTTTTGTTACAATAACACTCTTTTCTTTTAAAGAGTATTTACCTTTTGTTCTTCTTCATACTTAGTTTTATTGCAAGGAACAACTGTCAACTTCTTGAAGCTAAAAAACTCAAGGTATGCTTAATGTTAAGAAAGGCTCTTTTTCCATAATTGTGAGTTATTGTTTATACTGATAATTTCAATCATCATCAAATGAGTATATAAAGAATGAAGTGTTTGACGTGCATTAGAAAAAACATTTTAACAAATGACACGTGTGAAATGTATATGATCTTACTTTTATATTGTCACGTTATAGTCTTGCCAAGGGAATCAAGTCGTCACGAAAACCGATTGATAAAACTGAGAGATATTCTCTTCTCTTGACAACAGACCGGTTCTGATTACAATTACAAAATGTAATATACAACCAACATGACAATCTGTCTTCAAGATTTTTTTTTTATTTTTGCATTATAACTGAACAATTCAGACACATGTTTATAAAATTTGTATAGAAATTAAGATAAAACATAAACATATCCTAAATGTATGACTTCCAAAAGATAATTACAAAAAATAAATAAATAATTTAATTATATATATTTATAAATGAAATATTGAGAAATATGAAATATTTTTCAATGCAGTGAAACATATTTTCCGTAATTCCACTGGTGTCTTGCTGGTTTACTTTCTTCTGAAATCATCCAATTTTCAAAATTTTAGGGAAA